TTGTCGAATATCATCCGTAAGCTGTATCTCTCCATTCGAATGAGCATCAATTTTTTGGAACTCCTGGGCACTATAGAATGTGTCGACATTAAGCAGTTCGTCAGATGAGCTCATATACTCTCGACGTGGTATAGCTCATGTGTGCTGAAGAGAAAGAAAACGTGTGGATCAAAAGACGTGTCATGCACGAAAAAACGGATCGGAGTTTATACTGACGTGGACAGGTATCACGACGATTGAACTGGACTTTCGCATCAAAACGATTGCTATTAAATCTCACAGAAATTCGTTCTGTAAAGTGATTTGAATAATGCCTAATTCCTGCATTTTTAAGTAACCGGATTAGTACCATTCACATCCCTTTTTTCGGAGAGGGCAGAAGAAAACACTGTTGTAGCAATCTCTATGAGACTGGTGATGTTCACACAGATACGGTACTGACATGTGGCTCAATCTGAAATAGCACACGGGTTGTGCATGCGTACTGGTTTCCATGTAATAATTCTTTAGCTGAAAATTTAAAAATAAGATAAAAGATGAATAGCAATCATCGGAAAGAGAAAAACTGTCATTCATACGCTTACCAAAAATGGTAAGGATTTACAAACGTAACTTTCGATAAATTCATTCACTTTGGTGAGCTATCATCCTCATCAATATCACCAGTAATACGACCGCAATTGTTATTATTAACAAGATCAACCCTTTCATTGTCTACATTGTCTTGAATCGAGATTCAGTGATGCAAAACTCATGTGGCCAAATAAAACTATATTTTATCTCAGAGAACTCAATCGAAGAGTGAGAAGGAGGGCGGAAAGTAGTAGTATCAGTCAACTTCACAGATTATTGCATTATTCAATGACGATAATTGGCTCATGTCACCGCTGGTTTACCTGGTAACACAATCGGTTGTTGACCGGATAAGTTGGAATGGTTGTAATCACTTTCCTTGCAGAGGTACGGTCTTCGGGAGTGGATGATAACTGTCACACCGAAGACAAATATTCGCCTACAACTTGCATTCAATATATCATAGTTGGTTTGTTTCACAACGTAAACGTATTCTATTGTTTTAAAATACAATCGGTCAAATTTAGCAATTTAGATATTCACAATGCGGAAAAAATGTATGAGGTAAACATCACCTTTCGTGCGACAAAACTATTTTTAATGTCCCTCGATGGTAAAATTATAGATGTGTGTACATTTCACACGTGTTTGGTTTCAGACGGTGTACCAATCAAATCATGATACAACAGTACAAATTGGGCATAATGCTGGATACAGAAGGATAAGCACAAAATAAGTGAGAGATTATTGGAGTTAATTTGTTTGATGCGGGGTTTTAAACGCATTTTGAGTCGATATGATTGCTATGTGCAACATTAACAGGCAGGCTTTTCACTCCACGTTTAACATCCAAAAATGACTGGATTTTTCACGGCTCATAGTTTTATTCACTAATTACATTGATCTGACCTCAGAGACCATTATTACGTGTACGGATACAGCATTTTGGGCTTTATCACAGCCACTGCGACCCATCTACACCTCACTTTATAGTTTGCATTTTGAAAAAAAATTGTCCGTTTGCTCGTTATGCCAGTGAGAACAAAACTGTATCACAAAATTTTGTTTAGAAACTGCCCACAAGATACCCAATCAAGACGTTGGTCTCAACTGAGAAGTTGGAAGTTCGTCACCAGCAGAGAAATTGCATCACAGCACGTAATCAGATTGAGATTTTGCATGGTTAAGTAGGAGATGAAAGGAGATCAGAACGTGAGCGATGGTTGATTTCACTCTGTTTGTTGTGAATAAAAGCATCCCAACCGATAAATTTGAACTAATATCTAGACAGGTGCAGCAGTGCAGATTGTCGTAAGGGAAAAGTACACCATCAAGGAAGATACAAATGACTGAAAACGCGAAATGTCTAGACTACTTGTCAGTGAGGTTAATCAGGGTAAAATATGTGGATATTTTTTGAAAAAAATACCGGCTTCAGTTTGAACAACAATTGACCATGCACTTTTTCCCCGCGGAATTGGTTGCTATCCCATGACTGTTCATTTGGATGAAGGATTAGAGTGGAGACTGATACCCTGACAGCAGCGCTAGCATGAAAATAGAAAGTTCACGTAGGCTAGCGTTTGAAGGACATTAAGTAGATGCCCGAACGCCACTGTTTACGACACTCAAACATATCACCGGGTATATCTAACCATCAGTTATGCTGATCCCGAGATCCCCATTCTGAAAACCTAATGTGACCTATGTACGCAAGTATACTGGTCAGGGCTTTCATACACTCATGCCAAATCCAAAGTTAACCAAACTACTAAAAATTCGACACAAACGAAAGTTTATCTTATAAGCCTTATCTATAACTAATTTTTAGGCAAACCAATATTATACAAATGAATTCATGGAGAAAGAGAAATAAAAAAGAAAATTGTACTTGATGCAACCACAGGTTCATTCAAGAGGCATGAAATGCTCAACTTCGCACAATTACTAACCCGAGTTAAGTCATGAAAGACAACCGTGCACTGATCTCGATTCCCGCCGTTTGACTTCCAGTCTGACAGACCACTGATGCCACATTTTAGAGTAGCATGACAACGAAAATGATGAATTAGAAAATAACCAGTTGACTATGAAATGTAAAAAGATTTACAAGAATCGCCGTTTGTCATACTTATACATACCACCTTAAGCCTTCAGCTATCGACCCCAAGGACCCATTCAGAACAGAATTAATTTAAACAAATCAACCAATCCATACTTCAGACCACATATGAACCACTTATGATTTCGAAAATGCTGTCAGATACGGCAAATACGGAATACAAAGCAACTATTTTTGAAGATATGCATAACAAATGTCCCAGTCACTGCAATCTATCCAAACAATTACCTGGGCAAATGTGGCAGCCTATAACGTATTTCCTAACCTAAGGATTACCTATCCGCTTATAGTACCAGAATCGCGCAAGTATCGTGATACTCAGTCATCGAAAGCCTGAGTCCGTCTGTATATGCACCATATTTTAGAATTGGTCAAGCTACTGAAAGATGCAATCAACCATTTACGGACGAAGTGATAGTGGAAAAACGAGGCCACAAAATTCACCCATGTGAAAGGAAAAACGATCGGGAATTGCAGATTTTGTTCTTCTGTTAGTGTTAGTGTAAGTTAAGAGAAGCCGAAGAACCGAAGAGTTTTTAGCAGGGTCGCGATTGTAAGTCACTAACCGGTTCTTTGGAAAATTTCCTAATTCAACTTACCAGATGAGTTCCTTCAGGTTGACTGATTAGAAAAAAACTACCCAACTAGAAACATTTATAAAAAGTATTTTTTGTACAAGTACTTGGGTGTAGGAAGTTTGGATCGGGACTGTACTCCGCCGAGAGCTGCATACAGGTTTAGAGATATGGTCAGAATTATTGTTGGTTTCCTCGAAAATGGATGCTCGTCTAGCTTATGAAACTAATGTCTTCAGAGGTTGTGTCTGATATGAAGTCAATCGTGTTAGACTGTTAATTACAAAATTCCTTTATTCAAATATGGTTCCAGTGTGAAAAGGGTTGAATGGGATGAGTAAAATTAAACTATCTTTGCGCCAAAGCACGAAAAAGCCTTCTGATATCAAAAACACTACCTATTGCTTTATTTATTTCACGGAATATAACACAAAAGTTTCACGATGAATAATTGCAGATGGTGTGTGCTTCAAAATATCCGGTCACTCAATAACACAAACAATCATTACATTTTGGTCCTAGAGCAAAGTGCTGGGTCATTTTAAACTATTCACATTGTTTAATTACCACATTAGACGGTTTGTGAAAATTGTCACTATGGAGAGAAAATGGATAAGTTTTTTATTTGAGCAGATACTTCTCAACAGGTGGAAGCATGGCGGATGAAGTGGTGGCTCGCTTACGTAAGGCTCGATTAGCATTTGCCAACTTAAGATTGTCGGTGTTCGAACACCTATCTATCTATCTCTCTATCTATCTATCTACGTAGCATGGCACGAATCTGGTGAGGAAACGGGATAAGCAATACTTAGATTAGGCCCAGAGTTTTGAGTGACGTTGGTCGCCCACTGGAGCAAGGGTTCGACATCCAAAGATTACATTGGTTGGGGCATGTGTTACACATATCACCAAATGGATTTTCACAGCGCGCGATGTTTCCCGAGGAAGATAATGGGTGAAAAAAAGTCAAAGTTGATCAAACTAAGACCTGGCACAAGGGTATGAAAACACTTACCAAGAAATTTGTTCACATAAATAATATTCGGTTTCTGGATGGGGACCTCGGGTTCAGTTTAGCTGTTGGTTGGATACATTGAGTGACATGGCTGAGTGTCGTAAACAGTGGTGCTCGTGCATCTTCTCAAGTTCTTTGTAACCTTAGTCGACTGGAATTCTCCATTTTCTCTCCGACTCTACTTTCAACTTTCAAATCTTTCTTCTATGGGCAGTCTGAAGGCAACAACCAGAACCGCCGCACAAAGTGCATATATAACGGTTGAACAAACTGATACTGAAATCCCTCACTGTGTTAAGTGGCACACAATTGGCGAAGAATCAACAAGCATTTAAATTTTCTGCCATTGGCATTCCCCGGACTTTGCAGATCGAGCTTCGAGCCCTATCCCATCTGTCACATCTGGTCCAATAGAAAGTCTCATATTAGAGCTGTATACGGTTCATTGTACTAACTCCTGAAACTGTTCCATCAGCGGCCACAATCGATCAGTAAGCCCGCGTGATTAATTTGTGTCACAGAAAGACATGCTCTGTACAGTGGGTGTTGCAAAAAGCGGATTAGCAATAGTGATAGTGTGCTTCGGGATATACTATGCACACTTTGTGAGAAGTTCAGACGTACTTGATCGGTTCAGTAGAATCGGACAAATTTAAAATTTATAACGAATGCAAAATGAGGCAAAAAAGGGATAAATTTATAGAACAAATAGACTTTATTCAATTTTTTTTGTGGCTTCCTCTATCACGTTTTTATCAGCACCAGTTCCAACTTGGGTAATAAATTTTGCCAATTCGATTGCTAAAATATGGGGGTGTTTTAATCTGAATGACAGTTAAACAAACCATGCCAGATTTTGCCCCTATCAACGAACGTTCGGCTACCCGGTGCACAACGTCGCCCCGCATTCACAAACTCAGTGATTCAGTGGAACGGGACCATTTTCATTGCTACTTTCAAGTTTTACAGCTTTCCGTTGTTTTCCACATTTCTTCCTTTTATTGCCTGTGGCATCGAATGGTGGTTTTGAAACCCACAAAATAGAGTACCTGTTTCGAAAGGAAGTGTTAATTTCCCTGTGCGTTTTTTTCGCAGAAAAGTACAATCCATCTTGTAAATTCGTTCGGCGAAACTAACTCTGTCACTGATATTCATTTCATTATACATTGCACGAAGGTATATGTTTTATCGGTCGCATAAGTAGATTGCCACCGATGATTAGCCTTTCAGGTTGGTGAATATATGTCATCCTCAATAACACAAGATATCAAATAGTTGTACAGCCAAGGAAAAGTTTCGCAGACGAGAGAGTATATGCAATAATAAGTGTGTATAATGTTTCTCTGTGGCTCAAAATAATATCCGCTTTCGAGATTATTTTGATTCACCATGAATGTGTGGCACGAATAACAGAGAAACAGCACACATAACAATCACTACGATCCAGAGTCTCGACTCTCTACGTTTCTAACCATTAACAACGTAAACTTGCACCTCACACTTCATGCTACAGACTTGTCTGTCCGGCTAGATTTATTCATCGTCCAGAGGGATCCCCAGAGTCCGATACTGTAGATGAAATGTAGGTGTGTACATTCGACATCTGACTTGAAAAACCTATCGATACTTTAAGCTGTTCCCTCAGCCGGAAGCTCCGAATTCGATGGGGCGAACGGTTGAGCACTCACTTCGAAAACTTACTAGTTGAACTCCGTATGATATCACGAAACCACAGAAGTTGACTGCGCTAGCGCGTTTCCGATTGTTTTTTTACATAGACTTGCCGTGATCTGGGATCGCCATTGGAGCACAGTGGTTGAAAATGACTTTTAGTTTTCAGCCTAGGCACCGGTAATATTTTATCTTCAGTCATTCTACGTAGAACGTACTGGTCGATTTTAGCAGCTGTCAAGCATGACACAGTGTGAACTCAGAAGTTTGTGAATAATAATAAGGCAATACAGGAAAAATAACACGAAAGACACGGGTTCGTGTCCGCAAACTGATTTCACCGACACAGCACAATCATTAAACTACGCAACAAATTAAAAATGGCAAATGTGGTTGTTTAAGAAATACTACATAGTTGATCTGGCTATATAGGGTAGTCTAATTATGACGCCTTAATTTTTCGTGAGTCACCCTACAATGACAAAAAATACTAACCAAAATAAACATTGAATAAAAGCCCCCGTCAAGCGCTTACTTTTGTGAAGATAGCCCTGAAAGTTTTCTTCATTTAGCCATTGATTGATCATCACATAATTTGGAACTCGACTACCGTATATCACTTTCAGACTACTGGTGGCTCCAACCATCGTACCCATATGACGAGATACCACTTCGGGTAGTTGTTTAATGTAATCACGAAATGGACAAGGATATTTCACGTCAAACATTGTGAGCTCCAAATTGGGAGCAGCTGAAACCGGTCAACTGATCGCGCATGGACGTTTCAACTTACTGTGAGCGGAACGAAGCACATTGAAGAGGGGAATGAGTAGAATATCCAAAGCGGACCCGAAATGCATATTGAATCGGACAATATTCAAATAGGTTTCCGCATTCTCCGCATGGTCAAAAGTGAACAGAAAAATCAACTCATCTGTACTCCATTTATGACAGAGACGAGTTCCAGTGATCTTCTATGACCGGTGAATATGGGGCAGTATAAGAAAAACAAAACATTTTCCCCAAGTGGATGTGAAGAGTTCACATTATATATTTATCAGGCAGTGGAAAAAGTTACCAGTTCATCAGTCTACTAAAACTAAGTCCACAGAAATTTAGCTGAATTTCCGGTCAAGAACTGATTCCTTGAAATATCACTCGCACCAATACCTTAGGTGTAACGAAGGTGAAAATCGAAGACATAATAGAGCATTTAAAGAAAACTGATTTTTGCAATTCGTTTTGGAAAATTTGCGCATTTTTGGTTGACTACAAGTGTCATCGAGATGAGAAAATGTGAAATAGTGAGATAAGATAAAGCAGAATAACCACCTGTGTGTATGTGCATTTCATTTGCCTGAGCTCAAACGAATCCCAAAACTCACTCTGATCTCACTCGTTTACAATGCGGTTTACTCTAATAGTTGGGTAGAGTTGACCTTCGTGATAGTTTGTTTCGGAAAAGCTAGTGAATATTGTTTCTTGTAACTGAATAAAATAGGGTTTGCTGGCAGATAGATGAACATGTGGTCGTGTAACAAGAAATGCATGTAGTGTTTCTTTTGTCACTCCGTTTAACCTCAAGTTCATCGATCAAGGGAATCAACTAATCGCATCCTGATGGGAACCCTGTACCGTTAGGTAAATTACACTGGGTCACAGATATCGTTAGGTTCCCTGGATGGGGACCCCGAGATCATGGTCACCTGTGGTTAGGAACACTGAATGATACGGCTGGGTGTCGCAAACAATGGCACTAATGCATCTACTCATTATTCTTGCAACAATACTCTATATGAATTCTCCATTTTCAGTTTGACTCTACTCTCAATACTCCAGTCCTCATTCTGCTCTTTTATCGAAATTGGCCACCAAAAGACCACGGCCAAAACCGGGCGCATGAAAGTGAATGGTTAATGGTTGTAAAAACTGAAACACATTCTGGTGAACTATTGTTCCCATTTTTCCCAATGGTGTAATGTTTTGTCAGCGTTACTCTTCAAGTCCAAAACTATACAGCTCGTTGAATTTCGTGCAAAACAAGCCAACTAATGAGGCCTTGTCTTCGGTT